TAATGATAATTCACATATCTTGGCACAACTTTTACCTTATAATTTGAGAACAGTTTTTGTGTTAAACTCGTCAAAAATGTATGTGCATATGTATATCCAGGAGAGTCGTTACGAAATATGTGTTCCAGGTCGACGGATGCGTAGGCAGTAACACTATAATGTAAAGTGTGTTCACTTATTACATATCATGGTCCCTGCACTGTTTCAACCTGGCTTTGAAGTGGAAGAGCGAGAGACTCAAATATCGCCCCGGCAATAAAACAACATACGTCTACTTTAGAAACGCTGCGACTAGAACCTTGAGAGAAGTGTAACTGATAAAAGTCGTAAATAAAAATGACTCGCTTTCTTCCCCGTCGAGGATTTAGTGGTGGCATCGTGTGACTCTCTCTGCTTCCACCACTCGCACCAGAACCAGATCTTTCCTTCTTACCATGATCTAGATAGCTCCGTACATATACACGTTCTGTCGGCCAAGCATGATCTCTTGCACCAATCTCTGTAATAATTACGCCTTTTTCTTCACCTCAGTTGGCCATAACTCTGGAGTCCAAACTTTCTCTTTTGCTCCTTTCTCTTCACTGTTAACACTTTCCCCGCTCGCTGTCCCTTTGCATGTTATCTCTCATCTCTCCAGTCAACCCTTCTTTGTGTGCATTTTTTTGTTACAACAAGCAGTTCTAAATGTTCCAAGTTCATATAACAAATCCCCAGTCGTCCGCGTCTTTTCCTTGAAGATGAGCTACAGCGCGGAGTAATTTGACCAACAAGAAATTTTATTTTACTGCTGGCTTTTGGCAACTTTGAAGTGAAGTCGATGGATGACTTTTCCCTCGAGTGCCCCACTTCCCAGCAACATTTGAGCTTAACTGCTTCCGGCTGGCGAAGAAACTATTTCAAAAAGGAAGAAAGTTAAAATTACAGAAATGGAGGGGGAGCGAAGCTAGAATTTTTATTTATTCATGGACTATTGAAAATGGTCTTTTATGGTTGCAAGCCTCCCAGCCTTTGCCGCTCTTTCCATCATAAATGAACTTTTTAATATAATTATCCATCTTCTTGAAGCACTCAAAAGTGAGTCCCTTCGATCCAGAACTTTGAAGCATTGCAGCCCAAGCAATTGAATTCAACTCGGCGTAGGCATTTATTATTCAACCATAATATTTATTCAACCAAGTAAACTTATCGTATCATATCACCATCACCTTCTGTAAATACTTGCACAAATACGTAGGCAAATTACACGAGCCAAGTAGAATTCACCAAGCGACTTGATGTGACATGTCAGAGACATCCCACACGGATGGCATACATATTGTGCAAAAGTAAGTGGTGTTACATGATTGCTTATGAAGAGCTGTACAGAGATGTGTGGATATCCATGTAAGGACAATAATGGTCCGAGGTGAGTTGGGCACTCGTAAAATGTGTTCATTACTGGGCTAGAGACGAGGACCGTGTACGAGGCGAGTGGGATGGTGGGCCATAAGGCAATGAGAGAAGGTGCAAGGCATCCAAGTTTTATGAAGCAGAGACCACGACTGAGAAATGAATATTCCATGTTACTCGCTCCCTTTATTCTTTTGGCCCTGCACAATCTCCTGGAACTTTCACCAGCGAAGAGATGGAAACAGAATTATTCATATAATGGACTCGTCTGTGTCATCCACATTCATCCTCCACCTCTCCACTCCTCAGCCCATGCAGATCTTGGGAGTGAAAGTGACTGACGGGTCTGCGGTGCTGCATTACTGCCATTACTACATATATCTGCACTCCAGCTTACAGCATGAACAATGCCAAGGAAGGACCATGGATGGCAAACCACCAAAATCCACGCTTGCTTCACCACCACAACCTTCAACACGACAAATCCAATCTCTTTTCATTTCTATATGGAACTTACACATAGTAATCACTTTGCTTAACACCATGTTCTTCTTTCAAGACACAAGGGCTCGTGTAAATTACTTATAATCGTGTCAGTGTCACTGCTCTAACAAAGGAACCGCATATAATTGACCTGACATCACTAAATTGATATGCAGCGTAATAATTAATAGAATTCAGTTCAAACCGTTAAGTTTACAAGCATTTTTTAACATGCTCAAGTTTTAAGATTCGCTCTTTGTAGCGATTTTTTTATATACGTACATAAGTGATACATTTGTCGTGCCCATTATTTATTTTTATGGTATGCAACTTTTAGACAAAGAAAAGCAAAAAATTCAAGAACTTTCTTTGTATTGCATGAACCAGCCTTGTTTGAGTTTCAGCTCAAAAAGAGGATTTTCGAAATGTGGAATGTATGAATGTATTAATTAAAGTTGGCAAGGACAGCTTACATTTGCACTACTCTTACAATCCCAATTATTATTATGCAAATTCCTTGTTAACAATGAGACCCCAACTCTTATACATTACACGGCAAGAATTTCAGAGTTTTAAATTTATGACAACTTTCATCATCCTGTCGCACATTCTCCTTAAAGAAACAAGGGTCCAACATGAACGCCCACAGACTTTTGAACAACAATGCACACAGAGCATGGCAACATCCGAGTCTGATAATGACTGGCAAGAATTTATAATGCATCGAGTCTTCTGTGACGATGCTGAACTTGACAAATTATTTCCTGATGTCTGAACTGGTGAGTTTAACTTCATTGAACACGAACAGCGTGACGGAACTTTTGTGACAGCAATGGATGGTACAATTCTTCTGATACGATTCCTCATTTAATTTTATGTTTACTGTCCGGATTCTAAAGTTATTCAACGAATTTTGACGTCGAGCAGTTTTCTGGAATTACACGGTTGACGAAATGTTGTCATCCACATTGCAGATATGTACACCGAAATAACTCTACTTGAATACGTACATAGTTTTCCTCATAGAATGCAATATTTTCACTTCAACGGACAAACATTGATGTTTCAACTGGCTCAGGAAAATCGTAATGATGGCAATTCTAGACAAACACGAGTCTTTGTCAGCTTAATAGATTTGCTCAGGTGGACGATTTGGCTAGAAAAATATTTGCGTAGTTTAATCTGTCAACAATTTCACTTCAATACATTTATCTAATAAATACGACCAGAAATTGGGATAAATAATATTTTTCGCAGTGTAAACAAATTATGAAATATTTATTTTGCAGAGATTCAATTTATGTTTGGACGCGAATGGTTACATCAGCACAGAGAGGAATATAAATATATTTGAGTGAAGGCAATAAGCCAACAATAGACGATGGTTAAAAGAATGAAAGAATGCTTTAGTCTGCATATTACTGTTCGTCAAGGCTTGAGAACTCGATACCAACTTGACGTCAGCAGGTATTTCGGTATGTATGTTGTAGGTAAGAGGTATTCAGACTGCTTTTACTCTTCAAAAGGTTTTTCGCAATCCTGAAATGCATCGCGTGCAAGATCGTTACAATATTTGAGATTAAAGCGGCTCTATGCTGTCACCCTGTAACATATATGTGTGTACGTATGTCTTGCAAAGAATAGCCAAACCCCTGTTGCTATAAGACCCTCCACCAACTGCTGGGGAAGAGCAGAAATGGTTGGTTGGGGCTCCTTCTTGAACACAAAGGAAGCAGGAAATCGTTAGACGTGGAGATTCTCATGTATCTCTCGTCACAAGTTCCACTTGATCCTGTACGCAATTTCACTTTGCATTCTTTCTTGTCTGAGTTCAAATTCTGACTCTGATTTTCGAATATCTAATTATCAACTAGAAATTATTGCTAACAAATTGCTTTGTTTGAAAACGTAAAGGTTCTGCAGCTCCATCTCTCACCCTTCGGTAATTTCTCTCTTATGTAATTTGGTGCAAAATAACTCAAAATTCAAGTACTACACAAACTGTACTTTGTTTAACTGTAAGGTCTTTACTTGTCCGAATTGGTTACATATCCCAGATATTGACTAGAATTGGTTACATATCACAGATATTGACTAGAATTGGTTACGTATCACAGATATTGACTAGAATTGGTTACATATGTTGAGTAATATGTCAGGTAAGTTTGCACGTTACATAGTTCATGTATAAAAGTAACGATTAAAGCAATTCATTAAAATCTAATATTTAGTAAGTTCAAAGTCAATTAAAAAAACGAAACATCAGTCAAAAATCATAAATAGCAACAGAATAGGAATCCGAAAAAAATTAATAAAACTTATTCAGGGCGCCAGAATGGGTCAAGGGATCATAAACAAAATTGCCACATACATATTTGTACATTTCCTCGCATCTTAGCATGCTTACTCTCGTGGGAAAGTCTCCGTCAATAATTGTATAGTGTCGGTCATTGGGGGTATGCACAAAATTGAAATGCACGAAAGGGTCTCTCAAAAGGTTGTCGTGGTCCTCCTCGTTTCCATTAAGTCTTCGGATGATGGTCTGGGTCAGTACAGGAGAGGGGAGAGGGGGGTAGCGTTCCGCAACTGCTGGTCACAAACTTCTGCAACATGATGGGAAACGCGAGTATGAAAATTTGATGCCTGGAAGTAAATATATTTAATGTTAAATTCAATCCATATACACAATTCAATTTAAATTAAACTTATTTTAAACTCTTACGGCATGACTCGATCCCACATAAGTGCTCCATAATCCAATCAATAAACAGGTGGCACAGTGGATGAGGTATACATTGTTGGTGGAGGAGCACAGAAATCTTTTCCTTATTTCGAGGCGTTGGTGCGGCAAGGGTCCCCATTGTGTGAAACAGGGCGATTGAGACATGACAAACCCACACCTGTCTGATCATGCATATACAGAATGCATAATCTCCACTAAAAAACCAGTGCCGATTAAGAAGCAAAAACATATTAGAAACTACAACAATATCAACCTTAGGGAGCGTCCATAAATCACGTGATCGATTGTTGGACAATTTTGACCCCCTCCCCCCCCTTGGTGACCGGTGGTGATAATTTCGCTACCCCCCCCCCCCCACCGGTCACGTGACACGAGATGATGCTCAAATTAAATCATGTCCGGAATAACAATATTTTTTAAATCATTAATCAAATTAGAGCTACATTACACACATGTGTAAATAACTATTTAATACGCCAGTCAGACATAAGAATTTAGGTCGAAGCAAGTTTATAAATATGCAAAATGAAAATCAAATTTATATAACGTGCGTGTGGTATCATACCACACACGATATAAACTCTCATGACATTTATTGGCAAAAAAACTTTACTCATGTCACGTGACATCTGACCATCTACCCCCCCTCGTGATAATTCGTGACAAATTTCAGACCCCCTCCCCCCCTCTAATCGATCACGTGATTTATGGACGCTCCCTTACGGATCTTGCGACATATATCAATAATATTGAAGCTAGTCAGGGAGACGTCGAAACAGTTACTCACGGTGTGATAAACGATATACTAGCTATCTATGATATACTAGCTCCAATTAGAACAGTTACTTATTATGTGCATCAACATAAAAAGTTTGTATCGTGCAAAACACGACATATTATTAAGCAGCGAGACAAGGCGTACAAGGCATGTCGTCGTGACCCATCACCAGCTAATATCCAATCATTTAAGAACTACAAGTCACTCGTTAAAAGAAATATTCTGGAGGACACCAAACATGAATTTAATAAGAAAGTGGAGAAGCTTCACTTCTGGGGAGCTCTAGAAAAAATATACCCTCTACTAAGCCCTGCAGCTGAAATTAACTTGGAACCTGACACCGTAAATTCTTTTTTTCGTGAACATCTCGACAAGGGACCACGCCCAAACACTGCCACCACTACCTACAAAACCCGCACTACTCTGGGACGACCTCGACCTTTCTTTTAAATTCTGGGAATTATCCACACAAGACATTCTGAAGGCGTGGAAAGGCACAAAAAACAAAGGATCGACATCCCTCGACACGACCGGATTGTGCAACAAAATGATGAATATGTGTATGACATCTCCTAAATTTAGAATTATTATCATGAACTTATTTAACATGTATATTAATGAGGAAAGCGTCCCGAATATGCTTAAACTAGCTAAGGTGATTCCAATACCAAAGGTAAAAAATCCAGTATCGCCAAATGAGCTTAGACCGATAGCAATCCAACCTGTACTAACTAAATTATTTGGTAAATGTATATTCAACCAACTTTCTACTTATCTTGAATCTAATACTTTGTTGTCAGAATTCCAGTTCGGCTTTCGCAAGTTCCATTCCACCACGCATGCCCTAATAGCGGTCACTGATTTTGTATACAAAGCATGGGAGAATGATCAAGTATGTATTATGGTGGCGCTGGATGTTGCGAAGGCCTACGATAAGGCCTGCAAAGAGGTTCTACTACACAAACTAAAATGGTATGGAGTAGATTCTAAACTTGTGAGGTCATTTCTAGAAAATAGGCAACAATTTGTATGTATCTCCTGCAATAATTGTACTAAAACATCTAGCACGCGTCCTACTAATCTAGGTTTTTCTCAAGGGTTATGTATTAGTTGTGTTCTGTTTTTGATAATGATGAACGACCTGCCGTACCATTTAAAAAACAGTTTATGTGTTATGTTTGCCGATGACAGTGGTGTGTTAATTTCTGGTGATATTGATCATATAGAACAAGTTGTAAATAATCTGAATGATGATCTGGATAGGAGTATGCGTTGGATGGAAGCAAACAGGCAAGAACTGAACGTAAATAAATGTGAATTTATTGTATTTGCCCCCCGTAAATTAAAATCGGCTGTATCAGATATTGTTATACAAATTAACGACACACCTATTAGAAGGGTTACTTGTACAAAATTATTGGGGGTATTATTGGATGAAGATCTAAAGTTCAATAATCAATGTGATAAGGTGATAAAGGGTTGTAACAGCTCTCTTTGGTCAATTGGTCCCCTTAAAAATGTCGCGGAACGCAAGAATAAGGTACTATTAATACATACACTGGTATTCTCTAGTCTGTTATACGCATCTCCTGTATGGCTATTTGGTAAGAATAATTTAAAGTGTGTAAATAAGGTAATCAGAAAATGTGCAAGATATGTATGCAATAAAGGGAAATATGACCCTATATCCGATGACTTATCAGTCGACTTGGAATGGTTAGTAGCGGAAAATATGGTGCAGGCTGAGTTGTGTAAATGTGTGTCTAAAATGCTAAATGGCTGCTGTCCCAAATATTTGCCAATTATGTACCAATAAGCACCGTTATATATAGAAATACTCGAAATAATACTTACTATAAGCCAGATATTTTAATTAGTAATAATATTGCCAAAAAGTCCTTTAAATATAGGGCAGCAATGTCATGGTCTAATCTACCATTAAATTTAAAAAATGAGCATGGAAAGATGAGTCTAATTATGTTTAAAAAAGAGGCGAAGAAGTACTTTTTAAATGTCCAGAATACAAAAAGAGTTATAGAATTATTCGAGTTATTCGATTCGGATTAGTATCAAGATTTTCTATGACGTAATCATCATTTGGTATATGTATGTACAAGCAAAATGAAAATTGTGTAATGTATGACTTTCTTTTTTATCCTTGAGGTGTAAAGTCCCATGCAGTGGGGTGCCTCATTGAAATAAATCAAATCATGCACGGGCCCGTTACAGTGCAAACTGAGTGACGACATCTAAAGGTCCCAGGACCAATAAATCCACGAGCAGCGTTGAGGTTAACTTCGTGTATCAGTGCTGAGAAAAATAATAATGACATCAAACATTAACTAGGAACTTCATCCACAACAAATTCAATTTTTTTGAAAAATATTTAACTAACCTATGACTATTTTAGGGGCTGTTATGCCCTCCCCCTGTCTCGCTCTCAAAGCAACTTGCCGGTAGATGTTGTCAAATGGGACGAGTTTGATGGCAGTTTTAGTAATTACCAGATTCGACCCAGCACTTCGGACGTTGATTTTCTTCACATCAGCCATTAAAAGACAAGTGAGAAGATTTCTCTTCATGGTTCCAGTACAGACAATAATAAATTGTTGTTGATTTCCCCTCAACCCGTTAATTAATCGCTGATCAGTCACACCACTAGGAACAAATCTTGCCCATGCTAAATCAATACAATTTTAAACAATCATATACATATGAATACAAATTTTCAATTTACAATTTTGTAAAAATAGAAATTTTACTTACGTTGTAACGGGTCATCAAACACAGGTAATCCGTTGCTTCTCCATTGCCAAATGTGTCTCAGTTCCTGAATCTCTGGTGGAGGAGTTAATTCGAAGCCAAATTTCGTGTAGTCAGACAATTGTTGGAGAATTTGTTGTTGGTTTGCCATTGAGTTGAGTGAAGGGCACAAGTTTCGCTTCAAAAAACTTGTAAAACGAAGACACAATCGAGAAATGTGGTGCTGGAGAAGAAATCGTCGTTCTAGATGCAGGAACAAATCGGTAGTGAAGGGACCAGGTTGACGTGGTCTCATTTTATACCAGTGACAAAAGGACGCGTCCCTTTGTCAGCATAGCTTGGCTTTTCTATTTTGGGGAAAATGCGAGCTCTGAACTAGGAAGAGAGTGGTCAGGTGCAAATATTTTCGCCGCGACCAACGCCACACGCTCCAAGCTCCCTCAAAACCGGCTCACTCAGCAACATTAATAACTCAGTGTTGTATGAAACGGACATTTTATGATTGTTGACCTCTCTTGTTCAAACTTTTCCATCATTTTTTCTATGTTCTTGTACTACTACTAACCCAGTTATTGGTACTAACTACATACAAACTAATTCTAAAATTAATTCTCTCTGCTCCTCAGAGTGGAAATTTGCATGAATTCAGGTCTGTGCATGCAAATCATCAACGCCGAACTCCCAGGATCCTCACTCCAACCAGGCATGATCTACACTGCCCGTTACTCCCTCGTTCCCAACGATATCCTTTCAGGTCAAACTGTCGAATTCAGGGGTCAAATTGTTCACACCAACAACCAAATCGTGGAGATTTGTCTCGCCGCTGACGTGATCATTTTGATTCCAGTAGGATAAGAAGTTTACCATATTTTAGATAGATTACAAGTCGTGAAATGTTTTTGAAACCAAATGTGAAAATAAAATACAAATTCAAAATTCCGATACATTTAGCTCGACTAATTTATATTGCATAGTATCAATAATCCCGAAAATATTAGGTAACTCATTATAGTGTACATATACGCATAATCAAATCGTACTAACAAGTTGGATTTCGAATTCGAGATAAGTACGTTATCAGTTCATCAGAAACGTCATGCATAATTGTATTTAGCTTGGCCAAGTATAAATTACATCACTTTTAAAATCAACACATGACGCAGGGGAATGTGTAAAAGGTTGTCGTCATAAAATACAGAAGCCGCATGTCAAAAACTTTGTGATAATTTAAACAATTAGATTAAAGTTACATCAAAAACCAATTAGCTAAACGGGTCAACATTCAAAATTTCAAGGTCAAACGTCTCCTCATTGTTCCTTCCTTATTAATGCATGTCAGCAAGTGAGGAGGAGAACATCAATTTATTGGACATTAAGGAATAAATGATCGCAGGTTTAAATTGAATTTCACCCCGCTCCCAATGTAATCAAGTGGGCACGTGATTTTCGCGCGAAAATATCCTGCGATCATTTATTCCATAACGAGCAATAGAATTAAAACGCCACTCCTTCTTATGACGAGGACATCAGTGACACTTGACAGTTTGGAGATACTGTACAGATCTCGTAATTGATGTGACGCTGGGAAAGTTTGTTATGTTCTATTTCATCACTGTCACCTGTGGTCTGGTTTCAGGGGGTATGCAAATTTGGAGAACGGAACAATGCTAGACTAATTCGCTACAGAATTATTATTACACATTACACATTTTGAGGTCAATGAGTATCTATGATCATCGTAGAAAATTTAAAAAGAAAAATTCGTCTCGCTTGTAATTATCTAGATGGCATTCCAATTATGAATAAATTTGTACTTTATATACATAATAAGCGCTAATTTCTGTTCAGAGTGAGTTTTTAGGCAACGGGAATTTATCAGTTATATTGCTATTATTTCAAAATTAATAAATGTGTTGACAGCATATAATTTGTAGATAAGCCGAATAATGTTAAAGGTTACCATCAGTGTTGTTCTATTCACATTCGGCTGCATTTGAGCAGCATCACCTTTTACATTGTCCTTTATTGTATCAAAAGCATGTATGTAAAGATACCTTTTAATGTTTTTTGGGTACAAAATTATTATTAATGGAGTATTGTTGCATAATAATAAACTTGACAGAGAGCCCAGAGCAGCACAATAGATGCAACGGTAATGAGACAGATTCAGCAATAATACATAAATTCGTGCTACAAGTCTGCTTATTATCATCGGTATTTCCAATACAGATTCGCGTCGTTACAAAACCATAAATCGATGCTGCATAATAATATGCATGTTGCATGGTTAAGATGAGTAAAGAAGGTAATTCATACAAAAATGCATACAAAATTGCCTCGTTATTGCTAGTGCAAGGTATACTTTATTAATTAATAAACACCCTCTAATATGTACATATAATGAGAAAATATTTATCGCAATAATAATTCTTGATGCTTTAAGTTTCTAAAAATGAGTGGTAAAATCATTAATATAAGGCAAGTACGTGTGGGACTATTGAGATTTAATAAAAAGTCACCTTATTGGTGCCAATGTGGTAATACATAGTGTTATAAAAATCATAGTTGGTAAAAAAGGTAGAATTTCTATTATACTTAATTGTCTATATACTATTTAGGTTGTGGTAATATAGATTTTTTATTTGAACCCGGCTTGTATCTGATCCAGCGTCATGCCCTTCGTTTCCGGCACAAATAGAAAACAGAACACAGTTCCAAGGATGGAAATTATTGCAAACATCCAATAGCACCCATATGGAGCCAAATTACACACAAAGTCTTCATAACTTTTTGTAACCAAGAATGCCATGAGCCAAGAAAAAGCAGTTGCGATTCCTGCACCAAATCCTTTCACGTGACTTGGTAGTAATTCACCTAAAATGTTGCAATCAAAATTAAACAATGAATCTGAAATAAATTGCCAAAGAATTCACCTAAGTACAGCCATGGGACAGGTCCATAACCGAAATTGAAGGATAGGACAAATAACATCAATGACGCCAATGGCATCCACGTATATCCTTCTGGAGTTGATTCACTCTGTAATTCTGCCCCCGTCTCATTGAACGAGTTGCAATAATCAATTCGTTCTCCGAGAGCAATTGCATTTTGCTCTTTAATGTAAAAGTAAATTCCGATTCCTAAAAGTCCTATGGCCATCCCAGAATCCGATATAATCAACAAAATTCTTCTACCGGCTTTATCGATGAGAAAAGCAGATATTGTGATCGAGATGAGCAGAACAATTCCCACGATTATAGAGGAAAGATTGGGATCTATCGTGGTTCCCGCAGAGGCGAAAATTTTGACGTTGTAGAAAACGACTGCATTGATCCCTAAATACGAAAAAAATGCAAAATAAATTATTCAAGTATTTAAATATGTACGTGGTTCGATTGCGGTGAACGTCAAATGTTTCGAACCTGACCTGACAACAAATTCACAAAACATGTATAAGCTTTTATAATTTTAAAGTTGTTTATGATTCGAACCTACATTTGCTGGAAGAACATCAAAGCGAGACATATTACATTCGGTTTAATTACGGATGGTGAAAATAATTCTTTTGCAGACAATTTCCGGTCCTTTTTTTCGTCAATTCCCCTTCGGAACTAAAAGATTAAAAATTACTTGAAAAAAGTACTCCATAAGTTGTTGCACATATTTATACAGAGCCTGATCCAGTCACTAACCTGCTGCAATTCTGGCTCAATGTGATCCGACGAAATTGCTCCTCGGAACCATTTTAGAGCCTTGCGTGCTTTCTCTATGCGTCCTTTGGACAAGAGGAATACTGGAGATTCGGGAAGGAAATAGACGAAGCAGAACATGGTCACAGGCACCACCGCGTTTGCAAGTGTCAACCAAAACCAATTCATGACTGATCCAAATATATATCTGAAAAGTATACGCGTAATACTCTGAGAAGATTGGTTGGACCTTGGACGACGTGGGACCTGCCCTATTTCTTTCAACTCCATTCAACTTTCCCCGTATCCCTTCTTCTTCTTCTTCTTCTGTGGATGCATACATATGTTAAGTTGGTGCAAGTGATATGGCACCCATTTCCCTTTCGCGATTTCATCTCGGACTTTGGATTTCACGAGCTTGTCTGGCAAATCCTATTTCAGCCGTGTGTATATCAGTCGCCTGGATGCTAGAATTTTGAGAGTGGAGAGATGTAGAGAAGAAAAGTACATTAGCTTAGCAGACACAAAGGATTCTTCTGGGTTGGGACGACCCAAGTTGTTCCTTGTTTGGATGAGGGATAAGTTACATTAAAGTTTTAGGATTGTACATATCGGAATTGTACGGAATGGAATCTCCGTTGGGTTCAAGAAGCATGAAAGCGGAGAATAAAAACTTTCTCCGGGTCATGGATGGGAAATCTTAAACCTTTCTCATTTCTCTCCCACTCTGGGTGTGTGTGAGAGATGAGGAGCGTGGATGCCGTGATTTTGAGTGAAAAGAATTGAACCAAGCTGGGAGTCACTTGGATTTTACCACAGCTTAACATACATGAAATCGATACGTTCCTTTTCATTATTTTATTCATCCGCACGGCATGAGAAATCTCTGTAAGAATTGCGTCGAATTATCTTTCCATTCGTAGTGCGTGAATTTAAAAATTGAATCGGAAGGAAGCAGTTCCTCAGCTCGGTTTCTCAAGCCGGGAGAGATTGGCAGAAAGCGCTTTTGAATCACAATGGTTTCACACACACACAGCTTACACTGCTTCCATGAATGCTGGTCTATGGCCCATTATTCATCCTATCTCAGTCAGAGTTGGAGAACCGCTGGTCCTGTTTTATGTATTGAATATAAAAAAATATGTCTGGAGGCGAGATGCGGGCAGGTTGAGGGTGCGTCGTGTGGTAGAGAATCAAACAAAATTAATTCAGTTTCTGATCTAGTTTTCGCTCTGACGTCCACCTCCACATTCTAAAAATTGCTTTCTTAACTTTGGAAATAAGGAAAGCGCATTCATTACAGCCAAGATTCAAAGGTCGGGAATCCGACTATATTTTGCAAACTCGACATCGTTTCTTCCACATCGAGGAGGAAAAGGGATGGGGTTTGGGTGGGTGATGGAAATGAAAAAGGACGAAAGGCAGCAGGAATAGGCGTATTGAGTAGTATTAAAACTCCATTTGTCAGAAATGTGTAGTGTGAGAGGAGAAAGTACACCATATGCAAAGGACGGGAGGGTGGGCTGAGAAAAAGCTTCAAAATATGTATTCTATTCCCTACTATGCAATTCAAATAGGGGGACAGGACAGATCCACTCTGCTGCCTCCAGAGAAATAAAACATAGTCCGAGAGAGATACCTACGTACCGATGTGCATAACATACGTGAAGGAGACGAGTATATTTTATTTTACTCAACGCACATATTATGCGTACCTTCCACCAGTCATGCTTTGTCCACCCCACAAGATTTGGGTTTGCATAAAACAAGGGAATCGATGGTCGTGGGGTCACATCCACCTGCATAGCGATGTAGTTGGTCGGTTGGTTGGTTGGACCCCTCGTTAAATTCAATGGCACTGAATCTGTTTGTTTTGCTGCCCAAATTACCACAACTTTCACATAGAAGAGGAATCTTTCTCTGGTTATGCCCGAGTGGACAGGCAGTGGAAGCAGCAGAGGAGTAATATACCACACCAGAGGAGAAAGAGAGAGAGAGAAAATCCAGTACGAATGACCATGTCAGGCTTTCTCCCTCATCTCCACGAACTGAGACAAATAGAACGACCACGAGAAGAAATGAGTTCCTTCCTTCCTTTCTCTTGATGCAATTCAATGTCCTTCCTCCACAATAGGCGATTGCACTCTGCTAACTTCTGCTCGGAATCCAAATAACTCTGGCGGTAGCAAAAAGTCGGCATCTTTTGTGAGAAGTGACTTTCACTTCGAAACGGCACACGCATCATGTGGCGGTTGATGCCCAACCTTCACTTTCAACCGCTGTCCTCACATTTGAACAAATGCTGCTCGAGGCAATTTCCACCAACAAACCTCCACCATACTTTATGGTGTGGCCCTTACAATCCTATGCCGCCTACCTCACGGCAATTTCTCGAGTCAATCTGTATGTGGCTCATGTGATTTGAAGTGGGGTCTCGTAAAAAATCACAAAAACAAGAACACAAATAAATGAGATGGAAAGAGCACGAAATGTCTGAGAGGAAATGAAAGGTTAGAGCTGACTCAATTTCTATACCTCATCACGTCGTCGTGTCGCGTTACAATAATACGGTTCCTCAACAAGGTGGGTCGGCGTAAAAGTTGGCATTACATCCTATGCGATCTGTACATATCTATGTGTATGTCCGAGTTGCTTTCTCTGAAATTTAGACATATATGTACAAGTTAAAAATAAAATTTTCAAACAAGATTGCAAAGTGGAATTTTTGCTGAAACGATATATTCTTCGAGTCCACGCCGACTGTGTAGCATTCATTTTTGGCAACCACTTATGAACCCAACTTCAAAACGAAGGAGAAGGGTGTAGTTGAATAATTTTGAGGAGAAAGCGGCTGCTGCGAATGTTGGCAGGGCAGACAGCTAATACAAGAATAAAAATTACTCCTGAGGATGGCCCGACACTGACATATTACAAGACACTAAGCAATCTCAAATAAATGTCAAGACATCTCAACTAGCTCAACATGACTTCTGATTCTCTCTGAGGAATCACTTCATCCCAGTTTTCCTTCTGCCATGTACGACTCCAGTTTATATCCCCCTTTCGCAGAGAAACTCAAACTTTTCACACTACCAAAAAGATACGTGATCATATCTCAATTCTTGTAAAGAGTAAGCATGTAAGTCAAAAATAATAAAAAGTTGAGTTTTGTGACAAAGTTATTGCTTTATTTTACTTGGACATTGGCAGCTTGTGGTAATGTTGTGGTGTGTTGGATACAGCTACAATTTCTCCTATAGTACTGACTTCCGCTAGTCAATTTTACTACACAATGTTAAGCATTCGACCTTATCAAAATTTGTTAACAGTTGTAAATTAAAATATTTAGCAGGAAATCGACCATAATTACGGTCATAATTGGTTCATCAGTTAGAGGAAATAAAATTAAGTAGCTCCATCACGTCATAACTATCATCATATTTCTTTTAACCTTTAGGATCCCATTTCAAAATTGTTGTCACGAAAAATCGTATCACTAAGTCCCTAATTAATCTTCAATTAAATGCCCTTTAAGGCCCAAATAATTGTCAGCTATCTGTCCTCACGCACCCAAGCTGCTGAATCTTTTTCGACCACACTGACCCGAATTTTATTTTCAAGAAAAAACCAACGGAATATATTTGTATTATCACATGCAATGATAATCCACAAAAACTACTTCCCATATACATATACTATTACCGTGGTGAAAAACCTATTAGTACAGCTTCGCATAGCCCGAACCAGAAATTTTTATCCCAGTGAGGCCTTATGTATTTGCCATGTCTGTCGGTCCACCGATACCATACACCCAAAACGGTTTGCCTTCAAATTTTGCAGGTGCCAAAAATAATCGAGTTCGCAAGTGAGCCAAATCTGTCGAGTGAGGTCATATAGATAGGTGGGTGGAATCGACACCAAACTTGAAAATATCGCTAGAAAGCTGAAATTCAGCACATTGAGTGCTAATGGCGTGTAATGAAAGACTCGGAGGGGAAATCTAAAAATATTTAACCAGAGGGACAATATGGGGTGGAGGAGGGAGATGACCCATACCGATTTTCAAAAATAGCCACAAACCTACATTGTCTGCAATTATACAATGTCCTTAGTCAAGGACGGACCGCTCCTAAATTTTTGTCCGAATTGACCCGACTGCGATTACCACACCCCGTGTTGGGAATGGTCGAATGTGTGCAGAATATTTGTTATTTTGTGGAGTATTTACAAATCCTTCCTTGACTACCAGGACCACTGTGACTTGCTTCTTTCAAATCTTCCAAAGTTTTATTTGCTATTCAGAAGTCATTTTTAGCCCCTATCCCAAATTCCAGCTGAAAATAGCAACTTTTAAAACCAGTATGGGTCACCCTCTAGAGTCACTAAGGTTACACATTGACCACTTTGAACTTCATATACTTTCATGAGAACCCATTCAGTATCCTATGCCGATTTTTATATTTTTACGACAATGTCTTAAAACCGGCATGGGTCACCCATAGGGTCCCCTCGGTAAGATTTTGCAATTTTACTTCATATTCTTTCAATAGAAGCCATTAGCAAGCTCTATACCAAATTTCAGCTTTCTATGACAATTTTGAAATTTTAGTGTATAGTACCCCATCCACTCAGACGACCCCCACCGGTCAACCACTTGACCAATTTCCCCATCTGCGAACTCGTTTCTAACTTTGTCCAATTTGCATATACTAAAAATTTCATGTGAATCGGGTCAGTCGTTTTGGCTCTAGCCTGTTCACGGACAGACAGACGGACAACCATCACGATTCCATAAGCCCTAACTCGGGCGCCATATCAAAACCCTTCAATTTCATGCAATGTTTCCACGGTCGCCAAATTTG